AGTGTGTGGTTAGCGTGCGGTGAGTGTGTGGGGAGTGTGTGGTGAGCGTGCGGTGAGTGTGTGGTGAGTGTGCGGTGAGCGTGCGGTGAGTGTGTGGTTAGCGTGCGGTGAGTGTGTGGTGAGTGTGTGGTGAGCGTGCGGTGAGTGTGTGGTTAGCGTGCGGTGAGTGTGTGGGGAGTGTGTGGTGAGCGTGCGGTGAGTGTGCGGTGAGTGTGTGGTGAGTGTGCGGCGAGTGTTTTTGGCGAGATGTTAACTCCCTCGCCTGGTATGCAGGAGGTCGTGGGTTCGATCCCGACCCTGACGCCTGCTCTATAATTGGAGTTTGCGTGTCTCTCTCTCCGCGTGGTCCTGCGGTTTTCCCCTCCGCATTTAGAATCAACACGCGTGTCGAGTGTTTGGCCGCTTTACATGAATCCACATGATGACAAATAAGCCACTTCGTTGGGCTATCATTTGTAGTCGCAAGGTCGCTTCTGAAAAAGAAGCAAAATATCTCTGTGGGCCTTGCCTGGTAAGATAACAAACAAAAAATGTTTTAAGAGTTTTTGGGGGGAGAACGGGAAGGGTGATGGAGAAGCAGCCCCCTTAAACTCAAACGACAAGCGAGTTGGCAAGGAGGCGAGCGGACCCCGTGGGGTTGTGGCTGCCACAACGTTCGGAGGAAGTAGTTGTCAACTCTTGCGAGCGGCTGCCTAATGCCGCTGTGTGCCTGGTAGCGGTTGGCTGCGTACTGTGCGAAAGAAGTTCAAGGTACAGCCTGTCCTCCTGTAACGCGACGGTAGTTTGCTTTTCCCGAAATGGAAAAATCGCGTTCTAATAAATGATATATAATCTCGGGGTAAAGGCACAGTCCGCCATAACACGTGAGATGCGTGTGACGCATGGGTAGCATCTAGAAGCATCCAGCAGTATTCCGATGCCGTGTGCAATGCTACGCCGAGGCAGCCGTGCAACCCGCTTGTTCCTAACCCGCGCGACGCAGTTCCGTTCACTCGATCGCGTTGCATCCAATCCGCATTCGCGTTAAATATATACTTTTTTTTAATGTGTTCCCCTAACACAGTCATCGCGCTGTATCCAATTCGCGTGATGAAAACTTCTCGCGTTAGAGGAGAACAAGGTGTTTTTCTGGCACCAAATCTGACACCTTTATACAAGGGATCATGTTTGCAATAACGACAACACAAGCAGTCAAAATGCAAACAAAAAGTCCAACACCAGTGGAGATTAGGCTCTAAGAAAAAGCCCTCTCGGCTGTGGATCAATTTCAAGGACAGTGCATATCATTATCAGAGTTGTCTCTTTTTGTTTGCATTTTGACTGCTTGTGTTGTGGTTATTGCAAACATGATCGCTTGTATAAAGGTGTCAGTTTTGGTGCCAGATAAAAGGGTAAAAAACCTATTACTATACCTTGCTACTGGCCAAGGAGGTCTCATATTGTAAGGTGTACATACAGATGTAGTGTAATAGCGCCGGCTGGTGGCCATCAGCGGCCACTGCGGTGGACAGACGGCGGCACGCGCCGGCTGAGCGCGGGTCGTGTGGGCAGGGCGGAGGAACTGGGGCGAGGGTCACGGAGGAACCCGTCCGGAGGAGGCCCCTGGAACCTGCTGGCGGGTTCGAGAAGGGACGTGGCGGAGCCAGGGCCGCGCTGGGAGGATAAAAGGGAGGCGGGGGGGGGGGGTTCGAGGCTGCCGGTTTCTGGGAGTGGACTCGTCTCGTTGTCGCTCGACACTGCGCTGCAGGATTGTTGGTGGCTGTCTCAGTCAGCGTCGTCAGTGTTGGACGGCTCGTGTCGTGTACAGGCCAGGCTAGGCCACTGTGGACAGAGTGCGGACGAGACCGTGAATCTTCTTGGTTCTTTCGGTAAAGTCACGTAGAATGGAAATAATAAAATAATAAAAATAAAACAAAATAAAATAATTCTCACGAGGTTTCGGCCACAACGCAAGCAGCCGTCATCAGGTGGAGAACAGGTCTGTCTAGAAGACAGAGTCTGAACGAGACCTTGAATGTTCTAAATAAAAGGTGCCCTCCTGCAATCCTCGTCTCCGAATCACTGACATCTGCACATACATACAGGCGCGAAGGGCAATCTCAGGCGCTGAGCAATGCCATCCCAGGTCACGCACGTGGGAACGCGTCAAGCAATCACCGCTCCCTACCGCAGGCAGACGTGCGTCCTATTGCAGACTCATTCAGAACGGGTCATGACCATTGAAGAGACTACGCGTATGGGTTGCATGTGAGTGAGTCTGTGTGTGTGTGTCTTTGTGGTGGGTCGACTCAGCCTTGAATGCGTACTTGGCGCGGTGTGTAAACAGCAGCAGCGGAGAGACAACGGTGGGCGGGCAGTGGTGCCATGCCGGCCTTGACGGGTGCTCGCTCACAGCACTTGCCCCTGCAGTCTGTCCTCGGCAGAGAGTCGTGAGGCTCCACGGAAGGGGTATTTGAGTACCCTACAGAGTCTATAAGGCGAGACTGGGTTCAGTGTACGTGTGTGTTTGATATCAGGGCAGCCGTGGCGCAGCGGTTAAAGCTCTGCGCTACCGACCCGGCGACCCGGGTTCGATTCCCGCTCACCGCCACCAACAACCAGTGACGATTATCCGAACGGGTCCTGGTGCTCCCCATAGGTCGACTCAGCCTCAAGTGAATAGCTGTCGCGATGTGCAGAACATCGCCAACGAGGGAGACAAAGGCGGCCGGGCGTGGTGTCGGCCACCCACCTCTTTTGTGTGCCTCGTCGGGCACCTTCATAGGTGCTGCTCGCTAACCGCACTTGCCCCAACAGTCTGTTGGAGCTATACCGAGAGGGGGCGGGGGATCTTTGTCTTCATGATATAAAAAACAAAACTTGGCATCTCATACCCCCCCCCCCCCCTGCATGCACTCGACACGGCGCGCTAATTGACTTGGCGTGCTGATGGGCGCCCGGGAATAAGTCAATCGGCGGAGGCTGGAGAAGGAGGAGAAGGAGGAGAAGGAGGAGGAGGAGAAAGAAAAAAACAACGACGACGACTCCGGGGCGAGACGTCGCATCCAGCAAACTCGAGCGGAGCGATGGGGGGAAGTCACGGAGGCGGCGGCCTCCTCCTCATCTCCTCCTAATCTCCCTCCCCTCCCTCCTGCTCATCTCCTCCTCATCTCCCTCCCTTCCTCTCCCTCCTCCTCCTTATCTCCCTCCTCCCTCTCCTCCTCCTACTCATCTTCCTCCCTTCCCCTACCTCCTCCTCCTCATCTCCCTCCCCGCCCTCCTCGCCCTGTTCCAAAGTCGCTCCACTGACTTAAAGCTTTCGTGACTGCACGAAATCAAATCCTTTGGGTCTTTCGGTAAAGTCGCGTAGATAGTAGGTTCAAAGAAAATAACTATACACTACACTAATCTACACTATACACTATACTATACACTACACTATACACTACACTACTCTACACTATACACTACACACTAGTGCTGTATGAGTGACGAATTGACCACGTTCTGTTGACGTGACAACCCTTACTAGTGGGCTGTGTCGGGTGGTGGCGGGTTTTAACGACACATTTATATATTTACGCGATCTACCCCAAATAACCTCTATTATACATTGAGATCCATATAAAAGAAAAAGCAAAGACAAAGATCCCCTGTATAGCTTGGACAGACTGTTGGGACAAGTGCTTCTAGCGAGCACCTATGAAGACCGGGAGAGTACACGAGGGGGGTGGATGGCCAGTATTTGTCTCCGCGGGAGCGATAGATTGCCCATTCCCGTTGAGTTATTGACGTTCTCCACAACGCCCCTTCGTTCGTGGAGTCAGAATTCCGAAACGCCACCCCCCCCCCCCAATCACTCGAAGCCGCAGCTAGGTGCAATCCTACCGCCACCTACTGACAGACCTCGCAAATATTACGGCGATGAATCTTCCACTCGACGATTCCCTCCCCTCTACGAATCATCCCCCCATCGCCTGGCAAATCTCCCCTCGGGTCACGAGAGTGGCAAACCAACACCAACAACAAAAGGACAGAATTGGCAGGAGGAGCGACGCCCGTCGTGGGAGATGGAGCGGTGAAATCACCCTTCCGCTCACGTTTTCACATTCCGCTGGGGGGAAAAAAACGTAGATCCGCTCGTTCTGCCGTTCACGAGATGTGCTGCTGCTGCTGCTGATCTACTCAATTTAAAGCTTTCGTGACTGCAGGGATTCATCTTCTTGGTTCTTTCGGTAAAGTCACGTAGAAGGGAAATAATAAAATAATAAAAATTAACATAATAAATAATGAGAATTATTTAAAAATAAAACATAATAAAATAATGATAATTATTTTATTATGTTTTATTATTATTTTATTATTTCCCTTCTACGTGACTTTACCGAAAGAACCAAGAAGATGATCTACTCATTGTGAAGATTACAAAGACCGGTGACTCTGTGTTCGATGGGAGACACGAGAGAGTTTTTTTTTTACTCCGCGATTGTGGAATGCCCTTCACTCGGTACATTCGGGAATCTCAGTCGGTTACACTTTTTAGTCTTTTTAAATCGCGTCTTAATGTGTGGCTGATGTTAACGTCGTAGAGCAACAGCTGTGATTTTACATTTAGGTGGTTGAGCCACGTGTATGTTGGAACTTCCTTTGCACCGTACGTAGCCAACCGCGCTCATCGGAGGTGCGGGCGGGAGGGGAGGCACAAGAGACTAAACACACACAAAATAAGTTCTAAATAAAATGAGTTTTAAATCTGGATGTAAACGTCTTAAAACCCACCTGGTGTTACAGCAGGCTTCCTCCCTAACTTCAGCAGCTTCTTGCTGACCTTTAACACGTAGGTGTTCAAGCCCGATGTTCACGTAATGACGATGACGACGACGATGATGATGCAAATATAGTCGATTCGGGGAAAACAAGTTATGCTGGCTGGCTGGCTGAACATCACGTCGCGAGAGACGGAGGCACGGTCACATCCGATGGTTAAACAACAATGAACATAATTCAGTCGAGACTTCTGCTCTTGGAAGGCTGTGGATTTATTTGCCACTAAGAAATACAGCCAGGCCCACCCATATACGACATATATCTTTTTCTCTGCCCGTTATACGTTTTGAATATATTGTAATGTCACTCTTTTAGCAGCCTACGGCGTTAAAACTGTCACCTCTCGGTAGACTGTGGGTCGCGCGTCACCCCACCGCACCGATAAATAAAGCCGCGTGCAGCGTCGATGGGCTCCGAGCTCGCTCGAGCTTTAGCGTCGTCCGCACGGACGACTTACACGACGGGCCCGATCGAGGTTGAGCCGAATGACCACGACGACGACGACGATCATCATGATGATGATAACGAGGTTCGCGACACTGGCAGTTGGCAGTGGGCGCACACGCAACGAAATCTCGTTCGTCGATAACCACTTGCACCGGGCCGGTCGTTCATTGCAGGGATAATTATTTATTTTAGATGTGAATTTCATCTCTCTGGCCCTCTCCTCTCTCTCTCTCTGCTAGGACGAAGGGCAATTGCCCGAGACGTGCCCTCCTAGAGCGCGGTGAGCTAAGAGGAGCAGAACCCATCGCGCGAACTCCGCTCATCCTCGCAGCGGCGGCTTCTGTCTGGGCAGTCGAACACAGACGCGCTTCTGCGGCCGTCTGGAACGCTCTTCCTTCCGACATTAGGGAGCCGCTGGAGCAATGCACTTTTAAATCATCTCGATTGAAAACGAATTTCTTTAGAACTGCTTTTTTGTGTTTAGCACGGTTGGCTACGCACGGTGCTAAACAAGTTCAACACGTGGGGTAAAAGGCCTTCATTATCCTCGAGCTCACACCGTGGCTTGTCTGCTGAGCAGTCTACAGCTCAAGCTGATCATGGTGGCTGATGGGCATCACTTCTGCTAGCACCAGGACAACAGGGCCTTTTAACTCGCATCGTAGGCCTCCTCATACCACACCCTACGCCATATCCATTTCCGTCTTTAGGGCGCAGTGTTATCGCGAACGCCTAGGGTCAAGGTTAACCCGCGGTTTTAGTTTTTTTGTTAGTTAATTAAACTTCGCGAAGCCAGGCTAAGTTAACGGTAACTTTACACTCGTTACTACCCGTCACGGTCAGACGGAAGGCTGCTTTCACACCCTCGCCACTTATAGTTATATATATATATATTTGTTTTGTGTGAACACGACTCCCACTGCCAAACGCTTCGCGATCGGACCCCGAGCGCGAATTCTGGCGACCGCACGCGTGCCCACGTGACCAACGAACCTGCACAGCTGGAACCTGCCGGCAAGGTCGCTAGGCGAGATGTTGACAACCTCGCCTGGTGTACGGGACGCCGTGGGTTCGATCACGACCCTGACGCCTGCTGCTGCTGTATATTTGGAGTTGGTGGTGCCTCTCTCTCTCCCCGTGGCCGCGTAGGATTTTTCTCCGGGCCTCTCTGGCTTTTTCCCTCCACATTTAGAATCAACGTCACGCGTTTAGAGCATTTGTCTGCTTTAAATGTCCACTTGGTGATAAGCCGCTTCGTTCGTTGAGCTCTCATTTGTGATGGCCAGGTCGCTTCTGAAAAAGAGCTACGATAAGATAAAAGATTTTTTTAAAGTGTTTAGTTTTTTTTTAATCTCGAGCCGCGGCAACGGCAAAACGATCGCCGCCGCTGTCCCACGCCACCGCGGTTTTCCGCCACCGCCGAAATAAACGCGGAATTATCTGCGCAAGATATATCAACTATAGTCGTAATTACAAATCATCATTGTTGTTATGTATGTGGTTTTTAATCCAGGAAAGCCACGCCGAGCAAACAAGGATTCTCTTTTTCAGGAGCATCCTGTCATCATTATTATTCTTTTTAACATGTGCTCGGCCATATTGACGATGAGTGTTTGTAAAAGTGGGAAGAAACCGGAGTCGCCGGGAGAAAATCCACGCGTGCGGAGGAGGTAACACTTTCTCCCGCACACAGATTGAAACAGATGGCGATTGGTCCACTTGCCGTACCGCCTTTCCCCCTCCTCGTTGCCCTACGGAACGGAGTTTCGCGGCATCTGTGCTATCCATCAACCCTCTCTTAGAGGCGAACGTGAGCCACCCCCAGGAGATGCGTGAAGCTGCTCCGACCGCTTCACAAAACGTTCAGCGATCGATCGTCATTCCCTTGACGATGAACGGGAACTACAATGGCAAGTTGTGACCGTGCGCGACCCTTTGTGACGCTTGCGAGCGTTGCGTAATCATCATCGGGGGGGGAGGGTGCGTTTAAATGTGCGGAGCGCTCCAGACTGCTCCAGAGCGCTTTTCTATTGAACGACTTGTGAGCAGCCCAGGGGCGCATGGTCGGAACAGAAGCTGACGGTCCCAAGAGGAGCAGATTAGGCTGAGTCGTTATTGTGTGGGTGGGCGTGTCAAAATCAAGCCAATCGGAGGCGCCGTACCTTCCCGGGACATCTTGACTATTTTTAAGTTTCCTTCACGGAAACTTGTTGAAGTATCCGTGAAGTTTCTAATTTGTGGGACTGGCCGACCCAGCTTTTTTCTGCGAGATGCGACCCGAAATTAGTGGGGGGGGGGCGTGGTGGGGGCGGTGGGAACTCTGGCAGCTAGCAGTGCACGAACTTGCGTGTCCGAGAATGGCGCTGGAAGGCGACTCTACAGAACTACTTACAAAATCTCTTCGCTAGCTTTCTTCAACCACGCCCATAGGCGGCGCACTCAAGCATCTGCCCAATGCGAAGCGATGTTAAAAAAAGATAAATCTCTCGAGCCGATCGATGAGAGCTGCTCGATTCTCCCAACCCGGAACACGTTTGAGATCGATAACCCACATCTAGCACAACCCAAATCTAACGCGAAAGGCTTTGCTCTGCCATCGCCGGCCTGGCTGAGGAGCGTGGACGAGGGCGGTTTAACTTGCGGGTGGCCGGAAAAAAAACCAGACTCGGAAACCGGAATCTCACCGGCTCCGTCTGACACAGCTGGTACGAAGCGCGCTGATCCGGCTCACCCCAACTAGCCCCGATGCACACACGTGTAACGCCTCCGCGGCCTCGAGAGTCACAATTCACATCCGGGCTCTCATCCACCGTCGAATCCCCTTCCCCCCCCAATTTTAAGCGACTACGTGAACTGCGACCCGAGCCGCGACTCCCTCTTAACGTGCCAAGCGGGCGCCGGCTCTATCTGCGCCCGCTCGCCACCGGCTGCGACGAGCGACTGAATGACTGAAAGGAAGAGGAGGAGGAGGTGACGGCGCTCCGCACAGTGACGCCACCGGTCACCAGGCCGGCCCTGGCTCCCTGCCCGGCCGCCTCCAGCAAGTGCAGGCCGGTGGTCGGGTCGCGCACGGCCCGCGCCAGCGCCTCCGCATAGGTGACGCGCGCCCGCGTCTTGGGGCAGAGGAGCACGCGCGCGTGGGCGCCGGCGTCGCGCAGCCTCCGCGCCGCCGCGTCGTCCAGCTCGCCACTCGCCAGCGCCTCCGTCACGCTCGCCCGCCCGCCGGCTCCGGGCCGCACCAGCCCGCCCGTCAGGTACTGCGCCTCGAGCAGTCGCTGCGCCACCTCGGGGAAGAGCCAGCCGCGGCGCATGGCGAGTGCCGTCGAGACGAGCCGCCCCGTGCCGGGCTCCTCGAAGCCGGCGAACGCCTTCTCGGCCAGCGACAGCTTCTCCGCCGTGAACTTCTCGACGAGGCCGAGCGCCGCGGCCCGCGCGACCGAGTGCCGCTCCCCCGTGGCCGGGTCCAGGACGCCGCCCGTGCAGGCCTGCGCCTCGAGCAGCGCGAGCGCCGTGGCGCCGTCGAGTAACCGGCGCCGTGCGGCCTCGCCGACGGAGATCACCTCGCCGGTGTTCCCGTCGAGGACGCCGGCGATCGGCGCCGTCTCCTCCGTGGGGTCGCTCCACGCCGGGTCGGCGCCGGCGGCGTCGTTGTTGTCGAGGGCCGGCGACAGTGGCTGGTTGGGCGACGCGGCGCCTTCGCCAGCGGCGAGCCCGCTGGTGCTGAGCCGGTCCCCCAGCTCGAAGATGGACATTTCGCCCGAGCGATAGCGCCGGAGGACGGCGTCGTCGATGACGCCGGCGGCCAGGGCGTCGTCCAGGCAGAAGCGCCGGCCCTGAGCGCTTGTCCACCAGCGTGGAGGAGGTGGCGCCCCCGTCGTCGTCCGCCGTCACGTTGATCTCCTCCCACTCGCACTCCTGCTTGGAGAACTTGAGGTACATGGCCCGGTCGATGACTCCGCGCGAGAACGCCTCGTACACCGTCACGCGCTTGCCCGTGTCCGGGTCGACGACCAGCACGCGGCGCTGGCGCACGCTCGATGTCGACGACATCTTGCGCTGGTGAGGCGCCCTTCTCTCGCGCAACGCGAGCAGCGCGAGGCCCGTGCGCGCGTCCGGTGAGCAGCGCGCCAGCAGCGCGGCGTAGGTCAGGTTCTCCTCCGTGTTGGGGTCGAAGAAGCCCTTGGTGACCTGCAGCGGGTCGAGCAGCACGGCGTTGGTCTTCTCGTCGATGAGGCCTCGCTCGTAGGCCGCCTCCAGGGGCAGCCGGTGGCTCGCCTGTGGGTCGATGACGCCGCCGGTGGCGATCTGCGCCTCCAGGAGTCGCACGCCATGGTCGCGCACCACCAGGTTCCTCTTCATCGCCTGGAAGAGCGAGATGTGCTGGTCGGTGTACGGGTCCAGGTAGCCGGTGACGGCCCGCTCGGCCGATAGCAGTTTGTCGTGGAACTCGTCGCCGACGAGGCCGGCGGCGACCGCCTCATCCACGGTGAGCTTGGCGTTGAGCACAGGGTCCACGACGAAGCCCGTGGCCGCCTGCGCCTCCAGCAGCTCGAGGGCCGTGCCGGGCCGGACCAGGCCGCGGCGCATCGCCGCGTACACCGAGAGCGTCTCGCCCGTCGACTCCAAGAAGATGCCGGCCACGCAGCCCTGTGCCCGTCAGGTATGAGCTGATGGAGTTGCTCACCTGGTGGAGGGGAGGAGGGGGGAGAGGGGGGGGGGGGAAGAGGGTGGTTGTGAACCTGCATTGAAGGAGTTTGTGCCGGGTGATCGAGGTTTACGACGGCGGGGCGCGGTGCCAGCGGGCCGAAGGGGAGTTAGGTGGGGGACGGGGACGTGCAACGTCCAGCCAATGAGATTGTGTGCAAGAGTCAGATGGATTGTTACGTCACGTGACTAAAGCCACCCCCACCACGTCCCCCCCCACCCCAAACACACGCTCGCAAGCATCACGTGCTCTGCTCGGATTCATCCCGAGCCCAACGTCCTGCTATAGGTGTCCTGCCATTCCTTCCCCTTGGATGTCATAGTGACCATGTCATAGCACGTTTGCCAGCTTTGCCTTGTAGCCCGACACTTCGACTATCGTTCACGAGCTCTCACTCTCTCTCTCTCACCTCTCTCTCCCTCACTCTTTCTCTCTCTCGCTCTCTCTCTCTCTCTCGCCATCTCTCTCTCGCCGGCTCCAGGTAAAGATTCGCAGGTGCCATCACTGCGCCATACCTCCTCGACGCTGCGTGACCCATCCAGCAGCTGGCTGGCCGTCTTGCCGTCGATGATGCCGCTCTTGGCGAGCTCGTCAAGCGACAGCTCCCGTCGCAGGCCGCTGAACTTGAGCTCCCTCCCTGCGTCGCCATGTCGCCCGCGCCCCTCTGCCGCCTCCGCCATCAACGCCGCCAGCTCCTCCTAGGGTGATCCTGCCGGCCTTGAACTCCTCCATGAGCCGCCGCTTGGTCTCCTCGTCCACTGCTTCGCTCTCGAAGACCTCCTTGAGCGACATCGCCCTGCCGCCCACCGACAGCGGCGTGGCCTTGAGCAGGTCGGACAGCTCCTGTCTCGACCTTGACGTAGCGAGTCTCGCTGGTCGTGAGCGTCGACTCGGAGATGAGAGGCGCCGCCGCGTTGCACAGCGCCTGCTCCGCGCTCATTCCTCTCCACCTCCTCGATCTTGCTGATGACCATGTCCTGCGCAATCTTGCCGCCCCTCTTGCGCAATGGCAGCACGCGCAGGCCCGTGTCCGGGTCGGCGACGCAGCGCTCCACGAGCCGCCGGTACGGCAGCCGCTCCTCCGTGCCGGGGTCCGAGAAGCCGCCCGAACCGGCATCGCCGCTTGCATCCGACAGCAGCCCGACCGTCTCCTCGTCGACGAGGCCTCGCTCAGTAGGCCGCCTCCACGGGCAGCCGGTGGCCCGCCCACGGGTCGACGATGCCGCCCGTGGCCAGCTGGGCCTCGAGCAGACGCAGGGCCTGCTCGCGCGGGATCAGCCCCCGCTGCATCACCAGGAAGAGCGACGCCTTGGCCTCGGTGGCCGGGTCCACGTATCCCGTGACGGCCCGTTCGGCCTCAAGCAGCTGCTGCTCGAACTCCCGGCCGACCAGGCCGTGGCTCACGGCCTCCTCCACGGTGAAGCTGCCTGCCGTCGGCCGGGTCGACGAGGAGACCCGTCGCGGCCTGGGCCTCGAGCAGCTCCAGGGCGGCGGCAGGCTTGAGCAGGCCGCGGTGGAAGGCCTCGTACGGGGACACCTTCTGGCCCGTGGCCTCCACGAGCAGTCCGACGACGCTGCGGCGCCCGTCCAGGTAGCAGTTCGAAGGCGCCAGAGACGTCCTCGACGGAGAGGGAGCCACGGACGAGCTGCAGCGATGTGTCGGGGTCCACGGCGCCGGCGCGTTCTAGCTGCCACAGCGTCACGGCGCCGCCGCGCAGGCCCTGGAATGAGATCTCCTCCTTGCGGCGGCGGTCGGGGTCGTCCGCGTCGCCGTTGGCCAGCGAGACGCTCGCAGAGTCCTGCGCAGAAACAATGCGCGGCCGTGTGGGGACGGTGGCGGTGGTGACAACGTTGATGGTTGTGGTGGCGGTGGTGGTTGACGGTGGTGGTTATGATGGTTGGCATCAGTGGTGACGGTGGCGATGATGATGATGGTGGTGACGATGGTTTTTATGATGGTGGCGATGACAACAATTATGAGGATGAAGATAATTTGATTACAACACTATGATTGTGAGAATTTTGATGGTGCTTACAATGATGGTGGTGATGGTGGTGACGATGATGATGTTGGTGGTGTTGAGGATGGTGATGGTGGTGGTGGCGATGATGGCAGTGACAATCGTGGTAAAGGTGTTGGTGACAATAGTGGCGATGGTGCTGATGGCGGTGGTGATGGCGGTGATGATGTCGGTGGAGATGGCGGTGGTGATGGTGGTGATGATGGCGGTGGTAATGGCGGTGATGATGGCGGTGGTGATGGTGGTGATGATGGCAGTGGTGATGGCGGTGATGATGGCAGTGGTGATTGCGGTGGTGATGGTGGTGATAATGGCGGTGGTGGTGATGCTTCACACCTTCTCGCAGGTCTCCAGGTGAAGCAGGTGGCTCTCCAGGGCCTCCAGGTTGGAACGAGCTCGGCCCATCAGCTCGGCGTAGCCCGAGTTCAACTCCTGCACCTGTTGATGGCAACATGACGAGTCGGTGTGATGCTGGTCGGTTCGTCTCGAGTTTTTTTCTCTCTGCGCAGGGCCCAGAGGCCCCCAACTTCAAGCGGCCAGCAACAAACAGCACCAGTTTCAAAGTTGTAATAAATATAGAGTGGAATACGTTTATCGAATCGCACGTTATTGTTATTTTTATGATTATAAAGGCTCGGGGAAAAGAGACGACGATGATGATGATGATGGAATGATGGAATTCCCAAGTGGAGCAGTGCGAGGGAAGAAGCAGAAAGAGGAGTGAGGTGACCTGCAGTGTGGTGAGTGGGTGGGTGAGTGGATGGTGATTCAGTGGGTGAGTGAGTGGATGTGAGTGAGTGGGCGTGTGTGTGGGTACGTGGGTGTGTGAGCGAGTGTGAGTGTGTATGTTGTGGGGAGCAGTTCACGCGCTGCACAACGAACCCGGTGCTTCCCGCTTGCAGCCAACACCAGTGACGATTATCTGAACCGGTCCAGGGCCTCCTCCCCTAGGTCAATGTGTAACTAGTGGCGGTGTGTAAACATCGCCTCTCGAGGGACAAAGCCGGCCGGGCGTGGTGTTGGCCACCCACTCCCTCGTGTTTGCCGTGGCTACCTTCAGAGTTGCTTGCTAATAGGACTTGCCCCAACAGTCTGTTATGGCTATACGAGGGATCTTTGTCTTTGTATTTTGTTGTTGTGACCTGCAGTGTGGTGGTGGTATTGGTGGTGGTTGAACACCGTGTGGTGGATGAGATATTACGATGGTGAGGGTGGTGATAATGATAGTGATGATGATGACGGTGTTGGCGGGAGGAGTACTTCATCCAGCAGCGGATAGGGAAAGGACCCCACGTCTATTGAGGTATTCCCCACTGATGCACCATGACGGCACGTGTTCAACTGGGCGCCACGGTGGCGAGATGTCGACTACCTCGCCCGGTATACAGGAGGTCGCGGGATCGATCCCGAGCCTGGCGACTATATATCTGGAGTTGGCGTGTCTCTCTCTCCCCGTGGTCACATAGATTTTTCTCTAGGTCTTCCGGTTTTCCCCTCCACATTTAGAATCAACATCACTCGTTTGGAGTATTTGGTTGCTATCAATTCCCGCGTGATGATAAGCCCCTTGGTTGAGTCTATCATCTGCGGCCGGGTCTCTTCCGACAAATGAGCTATGTAGCTCGGTGGGCCTCACCTCTCTCAAATAACAACCAAAATGTTCAGCGCTTGTAGTTTAACTGCGTCACCTCTGCCGTGAGGACGTCGCCCGACGAAGCCATGTCCTGCCCCTTGGCTGGAGCACCAACGCGGACCTCGACCGCAGTCCGGTAGCTCTTCACCGCGATGTCGTAGGCCTGCCAGCATGGCCACACGCACACACGCACACGCACGCAAGCACACACACACGCACACACACACGCACACACACGCACGCAAGCACACACACACGCACGCAAACACACACACGCACACGCAAACACACGCACACACACAAGCACACACGCACGCGCACACACACACGCACACACACACACGCACGCAAGCACACACACGCACACACACACGCCCGATATTGTGCAACGTCATGCGCGTGCCCACCAGACAAGGCAGTCGCCGCGTCTCGAGGGCCCGTTTTCCCGGACGGTGCCGCTGCACCGAGACGTTTCGCCAAATGCCTAGTCTCCGCTCTCCCATCATCACACTGCTACTCCCTGCCCCCGCCACTCAGCTATGATCAGGCCTACCACTACCCCAACCCCTGTCACTACCCCAACCCCTGTCACTACCCCAACCCCTACCACTACCCCAACCCCTGTCACTACCCCAACCCCTACCACTACCCCAGCCCCTACCACTACCCCAGCCCCTGTCACTACCCCAACCCCTGTCACTACCCCAACCCCTGTCACTGCCCCAACCCCTGTCACTGCCCCAGCCCCTGTCACTGCCCCAACCCCTGTCACTGCCCCAACCCCTGTCACTGCCCCAACCCCTGTCACTACCCCAACCCCTGTCACTACCCCAACCCCTGTCACTACCCCAACCCCTGTCACTACCCCAACCCCTGTCACTACCCCAACCCCTACCACTACCCCAACCCCTACCACTACCCTAACCCCTACCACTACCCCTATTACTACCACTACCCCAACCCCTATCACTACCCCAACCCCTATCACTACCCCTATTACTACCACTACCACAACCCCTATCACTACCACTACCCCCAACCCCTGTCACTACCCCAACCCCTACCACTACCCCAACCCCTATCACTACCCCTATTACTACAACTACCCCTATTACTACTACTACCCCAACCCCTATCACTACACCAATACCTATCACTACCCCAACCCATATTACTATCAATACCCCTATCGCTATTTTATCACTACCCCTATCACGACCGCAACCCTTATAACTACCCCTTTAACGACCCCTACCACTGCACCTATCACTACCCTACCCCCCTCAATACCCCTATCACTACGGGCAACCTGAGTTCTGTGCCCTTCCATGGCGAACATCAGTGGCGAGCAATCTCTGAAGCGACCACGCACCCCTCTGCCCCCACCGGTACCCCCACCCTCCATACCGACCAACTTATCGGCCAGACATTGCCTGCCTACCTTCATGTGAGCGGCGCACTGCTTGGCCCGCTCCCCGCATTCGCTCAGCTTGTGCTCGTTCTCCTCCAGCTCCACCAGCAGCGTCTGTGACGACAGCACCACGTGACGACAGCCCCACGTGACGTCAACAACGACGACGACAAACAAAACAAAAACATTCGTTAGTGTGCGCCCCCCCCCCCCCCCCGCGTGCGGCACAGAGGCGACTCGGCACACGGCCGGCACGGCTGCTCTGCCAAGGATGTCGAATGCCCCCGGCGATCGTGCCGACGTTGGCGTGGGGTTCGGAGCCATCGGCCCGGAACTCTGACGTCGCGGGTTATTCTCGAGTTTGCCAAAAAATTTGGAAGTGCGACGCCGGCATGCTCTTGCGGCCCGCGAAAGCTGCCCGAGAGTCGGCGAACCGGGGGCCATCGGCTCGCTCACAGCGAAGACTGTCCCCTCCTTCCGTCCCGCGTGCCCAAAACCAAGCGGAGCGGGCGCCTCACCTTCTGCACGTGCAGCGTGCTCACCGCCCCCTCCCGCGTTGCGTCGCGATCCTCGCCACGGAGATCCAGCGCGTCCTGCCGGGCGCCGGCGTCGGCCAGGAATGCACGGAGCCAGTCGCGGCCGTCCCAGTAGGCGCGCAGGCCGCCCTCGAGCGCCAACGCGTCGCCCAGCCTGCTCGCGGAGCCAACCGAGGCGCAACGGTGGCGAGATGTTAACTACCTCGCCTGGTATACAGGAGGTCGTGGGTTCCATCACAACCCTGTCGCCTGCTGTATATTTGCGTGTCTTTCTCCCCCTCCCCGTTGTCGCGTGGAATTTTTATCCTCTCTACATTCTTAGAATCGACGTTCGCGCGTTCCTGTGGCCGACATAAAACGTCCACGTGATGAGCCACTTAGTCGAGCTGTCACTTCGCCGAGAGTGACGCGCAAACTCCAAACGCGCAGCAGGCGCCAGGGTTCGGGATCGAACCCGCGCACCTCCCGCGTGCAACAAAAACCGGCGTGACCTTTCCGCTATGAGCGGGCGAGCCCAGCGGACGGCGGTGCAGCGCGACGCTCACCGTGCCGCCAGCCGCTGCGTGGCGTCGGCCCAGCGCCCCAGCAGTCCGTCCACGGCGTCGCGGCAAGCCCGCGCCGCCGGCTCCCCGGCGCCGGTCCCCGCCAGCGTCCCCAGCAGCCGCTCGCTCGCCGCCTCCGACTCGGACAGCGAGGAGCGGAGCGACTGAAACGCCGCGCCGCCACGCGCGGCGTCGCGCTGCAGGTCCTGGAAGGGGGAGGCCCGCGGAGGGCGGTGGGGGCGAGATGGGGAGGGGGGCACGCGGCCGTAGGAGGCCACGGAGAGAGGTGGCCACGTTCAACAAAGCGGCCAGTGCCCGTCAACTCCGTGCGAGCCGAAGTGACCTGCAGCTCGAATGAGCGCGGAATCGATGCTCGTCTCACATTTGCAGTCCTGCAGCGCCTGTGGTGGGAATTCAGCATCGCTATGGCAGGCGAGGTTGGGGGGGGGGGGGAAGGGGAGTTTGGGGGGGGTGCTGTTGACTTCCCCCACAAAGTGGAAGTTGTTTTATCGCCCCCCCCCCCCCCATGATAGGCTGAATGATAGGCTGAATCACTGAATTAACCGATTGTGGGCAGTTTCGGCAAAACGGCCAAGCCGCCCGGCCGCATCACAGCGATTAGGTCTTGGCATTCACCTCGCTGGCAGTAATCTCCACCAACGATGATGCCGCAGTAATATCTTTCGCGTTGGAAGCGGTGGGAAAGTCTCCTCGATGTCACCGTGTAGACAGACCGGGCCACCTAAAGTCATCCGAAATGTCCCTTTTTTTGCCAGTACCAAGACGATTTAAAAAATTACAATAGGCTTTACCCCCTTTTCTGGCGATGAAACAGGTGTGTCGAGATGTGCACAACACCAAATACATACCTGTTGCAAAGCAGCAAGTCCGCATATTGTTACTACACTTCGTAAGCCCGAAGCAGGGTGCTTACTGCGAACACTCAGCTGGAACCGCTCCGACATCCACCGCCGCAAATTTTGCCTGCGGTCAAATTCGCGACGTTCGAAGCGCCGCGCTGATGGACCGATGCGATTGGCCGGCGAGCAGGCCATAAAAGGAGGCCGAGGCTCGGGAGGGAAGGCCTTCACCGATCAGCAGATTGACCCCACGGTGCCCGCAGTGGGTCTGGCCGCGCGTTTTTTTCCGCTCACCGCGAGACGCGACCGCAGCTCCTCCAGGGCCACGGCCTCGCACGGCGCGAAGCCTCCCTCGCCCTAGCCTGCCCTCGAGGCTCGAGGTGGCCTCCTCGGCGTTCTCAAGGTTCTTCAGCAACACCTCCAGGGACCGCAGCCTGCGTGACAGCGCCATTGTTGTTAAGCGCGCGCGGCGGGCGGCGGCAAGGGGGCGGGTCGCAGAAAATGTGGAGAACTTTGTGCGCTGGGACAGCCGTTGGCGTGCGGATGCCGTCCGTTCTACTGTGGAGCAAAGCCGGGGAGATTTCTCAGTCGGCAAGAATAGGTCTATTATCAATACCGTGCAGTGGGCAGCAGTAAAGTTCAACACAGCAACAATACCGGTACCACATCTCGATGCAATTAATTCCTGCTGCCACCCAAGCAGAGGTCACGCCAAGAATAGGGCTGCCACCTGTCCAGGTTGGACCCAGTACAGTCCAGGTGGAAGGCATTGATCTGTATAGTGGTCCGGCACCAGGTATTGTTGCTGTGTTGGACTTTGCCGCAGTTTACTGGCATAGTTTTGTGCCAGACCTGGTTGCTGAGGACTCTGTCCGGGTCTGGCGGTCAATTGTTTGGTGGGGCGGTATTGACGACGCGTCGTCACAAGAGGGGGCACCAGGATGGCACCTTCCCCCATGGCAAGATTCCGTATGGTGGTGGTGGCGGTCCGTGTGGTTTGGGGAGCGGAGGAGCAGTGGTTAGCGCATTGCGGTACTACGAACCCTGCGACCCGAGTTCGATTCCCCGCTCACGGCCCAACACCACTGACAATTATCTGAACTGTTCCTGGGCAGACTCAGCCTCAAATGAGTACCTGGTGCGGTGTGTAAACGTCGCCACTGGGGAGACAAATGCTGCCGGGCATGGTGCTGGCCACCCACCCTCTCGTGTACCGTGCCGGCCTTCGTAGGTGCTCTCTAACAGCACTTGCCCCAGCAGTCTGTTAAATGCTATACGGAGAATCTTTGTCTCTGTTAGGTTACATGCGATTATGAAATTCGAAAAAAATGCCTCTGCTTGTCATTTTGGGCTGCCAACTTCCTGATCGAGGGGGCCCAGTTTACCATGGGCAGGGGTCAGTAACCCACGGCTCAGATCCACATGCAGCTCTTTAAGGACCGCTTCGTGACATTGTTTACTAAGTACTACCGTCTCGTATCCACGTGCATTGCAGGTCTTTAAATATTTATGGATTTATTTTTTCTTAATTACCAAATTAGAAAGAAGAAAAACGGCTCTTCTCGTTAGTTTGGGCTGCCGACCCCCTGGGTTTCCACGGCGGTTCAGGAGGCACTCCGGGTAATGACCGCGAACGCGAACCCGGGGGTTTCCGGTGCCGGTGGTGCAGCGGCGTGTAGGCACCTGCTGCCGTAGAGCGACGAGGCGTGCAGCAGCAGCTGGTGCTCCCGCTGCACGCGGCCGAGCTCCGTGCCGAGCGCGGCGTCCGCGCGGCGCCCCGGCGACTGCGGCAGGAGAAGCTGCCGCCGCCGTCGCCGCCGCCTCGATGGCCACGGCCACGCCAGGCAGCTCCTCCCCGACTGCTCGCCAGCTCCTCCTCTGTCACCTAGGCCCACGAGTACAGCATGGCGGAGGTGCCGGTTGTTTGCACGCGTGTGTGTGTGTGTGTGGGGAGCGGTCCTGAGACCTCGCCTAGGTTGACTCACGTCCATGTGTCTGCGTTTGTTGTGTGTCCATGCGTCCCCGTGTCTGTGTGCCCACGTGTTCACGTGTTTCCGCTGTATCCACGTGTCTCCATGTGTTCACGTGTCCACGCGTCTGCGTTTGTATGTGTCCATCTGTCCGTGTGTCCGTATGTACCCGTGTCCAGTGTGTCGTGTCCACGCGTCTGGATTTGTGTGTGTCCATGTGTCCTATCTGTCCGTGTGTCCGCATGTCCCCGTGTCCGTGTGTCGTGTCCGTGTGTCATGTCCTATGCGTCTCTGTGTCCATGCGTCCGCGTGTCCTGCGGGAGCGGCACCTTGTGCTCCGCGAGTCGCGCTCGGAGGTGGTCGGGGAGTCGGGGCGGCCCGTCGACCGCCGCCTCCACCCCTCGCTCCATCGTCTCGCGGCATCGCTCCAGCCGCGCCGAGATCTCGCGCAGCAACGAGGCGGCCCGCTCGCTCTCCCGGGCCGCTGCGGCCGCGGCGGCGGCTGCGGCGGCGGCCGCAGAAGCGGCTGCGGGTGCAGGCGAACACCGTGCGCGTGAGAGTGTGCACGAGCGGAGCGCGAGCAAACTAAAACTAAACCAAGGTGTTTTTATTTTTGTTTTAACGGGTCTGGTCCACTGAGCTGTATCGCTCTTTTTTCCCGAAGCGACCTGACCACGAATGATAGAGCAACCAAGTGGCTTATCATGTGGAATTTTACAGCAGCCAAATACTCTTGAACGCACGTTGATTCTAAAAGTGGGGAAAAAGTGGAGGACCTGGAGAAAAATCCACTGTATACCAGGTGAGGGAGTAAATATCTCGCCATCGTGGTGATGGGGAGCGGTGGCGCAGCAGTTAGCGCTCTTTGCTATGAACACGGCGGTTCACGTGCGATTCCCTCTCACAGTGCACCGGTGCTGGGCCTCCCATAGGTCGATTCAAACGAGTACCCTGGTGTGGTGTGCAAACATTGGCACTGGGGAGACAAAAACGGTCGGGTGTGGTGCTGGCTGGCCACCCACGCTCTCATGTGCTGTGCCGGCCTTCATAGGTGCTTGCTAACAGCACTTGCCCCAACAGCCTGTTAAGGCTATACAGGAGATCTTTGTCTTTTATACGCATACATGTACACGTGTGTGTGTGCCTGCGTGTGCGTGCACATGTTCATGCGCGTTGACGTGTACACGTGTGTGAATGTGTTCCAGTGTGTCCGTGTACACGGGGAGCGGTAGTGGAGCGGGTTACCGCTACGCTGCGATAGGAACACAGCGACCCGGGTTCGATTCCCGCTCACGGCCAACACCAGCGACGAATAATCTGAACCGGTCCTGGGTCTCCCCTAGGTCAACTCAGCCTCAAATGAGTACCTGCTGGCGGTGTGTAAAACATCGCCACTGGGGAGACAAAGGCGGCCGGTCGTGGTTGCTGGCCACCCACCCCCTCGTGTGCCGTTGCGGCCTTCATAGGTGCTGCTCGCGAACAGCGCTTGCCCCTACAGTCTGTTCAAGGCTACACGGGGGATCTTTGTCTTGTGTACTTGTGGTTGTTGATTATGGTTCATTGTTGACTTTGTCTCGCGCGCTCGTGCCTCACCGGCTCGCCGCCGCTCCTGTATAGCTGCACGGTACCGCGCCGCTGCCGCCTCGGCCTCGCCGGCGGCGGAATCGCGCCAGCCCAGGGCGCTGCCGTGGCTCTGCGCGGCGTCGAAGCTCGCCAGCAGCTGCCCCAGCGTCTCCACCGCCGAGCTCAGCTCCTCCTCCTGCAGCGCCAGCAGCTGCACGGGCCGGGGGAGACGGACAACGGTCGTCCACCGACAGCCAGACACTGCTCGTCGTCGCCGTCTCACCCGCCACGCCGTGTCCAATCACCACCACCACCACGCCGTGTTTAACCATCACCACCACACCATGTCCAACCAACATCACAACTACCACCACCACACCCTGTCCAACCACCACCACCACCACACCGTGTCCAACCACCACCACAACCACCACCACACCATGTCCAACCACCACCACCACACCCTGTCCAACCACCACCACCACCACACCGTGTCCAACCACCACCACAACCACCACCACACCATGTCCAACCACCACCACCACACCTGTGTCCAACCACCACCACCACAACGTGTCCAACTACCACCACAACCACCACACCGTGTCCAATCACGACCACCACCACACCGTGTCCAACCACCACCACACTGTGTCCAACCACCACCACCACACCATTGATTCGTCCACGCATGTTGAGGACCCTGCCTACCAAACTGACCATCACTACCATGTATGGCCACTGCACTTGGTAGAATCCAACGTAGAGCAGTCCGGTTTATTGATGATCCAGCACTAACCGATGGTCCGTCGCCTCCTAATCACTCTTCTATCACTACTAGCGTTGCTCCTCGGTGAACGTCGCCCATCTATTCCTCCGCCCATGTTGAGCACTCGGTCTACCAGACCGGAATGTTTCGTCCCGTCCCATTCTGCTTTTGTCCGTCGCACAGCTCTGCTTTGGAATTCCCTCCCATCGTCTCATTCCCAAAGCTCTTACGATGCATAAAATAATAACACCGCTCGATTCAAGCAGCGCGTCCACTCGAATCCCTCAACCAAACAATTTCCGGTTTTGCCGCGAGACTGGGCCAAATCGGTGTTGAACGACTCTTCCCAAGGTTGGAGCGCTGGTGGCGTAGGATCGTGGATCTCGCGGCCATGCCCTCGACAACAAAACCAGCGATGGTCAACCCAGACGAGTCGGTGGGCCACGTGAGTGGCCCTCCTTCAACCCGGTGGGCCCGCAAGCTCGACATTGTGCTTGTGCACTCATCATGGTCCCACGCGTCATCCTAGATGCACTTGGACCAAGCTACCACGAGGGCCTGCATGGGATGCAGGTTTGCCCACCAGTGTTGTAAGCAAACATGTGAACGTGCGGACCGGGGGTAGGTGGCACGTGACTAGCGGCCACGACCGTGGTGTGAGAGCTATACTGGGTGTGGTGGGCTGGAGCAGGGAAATGTTTTTTGGGATTAAATTATACCACCTCCACCGCCCCCCCCCCCCCCCCCGTGAGATTAATGATCCTCAAGAAGTAGAAAACTTGAAAAAAGTGAAAAACCTCTTCGTCCGTGACGCCCCGGGTCTCCTCCACCACCTCCAGCAGGCTCCGCCAGGTGAGTAGGCTCTGCACGGTGGATCCGCGCTCGATCGACAC